CAACTTCATCCGCCAGTTCCTTCAGGATCCATGGATGGATCTCATCGGGTCCCATGGATTTGTGCACCTTCAGGTGCTTTAGATGGTCTCAAACCTGATGTTCTCCCACAGTGGGCAGCTCTTCATTCTCCCAGTCCCCACCTTTGCCTTCTGCAGCTTGGGCAGTGAGGCTTGAGCACTTGCCGGTGAAGACTGAGGCAAAAAAGTCATTGAGTATCTAAAAAGTACCAGTGAGTACCTATCTTTCAGTGCATCCCAATAACCTTGTAGTAATGCCGTAGTAAAACTATGATGCCCCTTTCACGTTAGACCTGTATCTCCAGTACTGAAATACTCCCCAATTTAACAGTGTTCATGTTTGTCCTCAATCAGAAAACCTGAAGAAAATTGTTCAGTCATCTATAGAGTCAATCAAGTGTGGAAAGACACAAACATTTAATTAGGTATGATGTAGATGTGATGCTCCCTCTGAGAGAAGACAAGCGGTGTTTGCTATAAGTTTCATGCTCACCTGCTTTGTTACATTAGAAAAAATATGATTGAAAAAAAGTACCAGGAAATACGCAGGTCATTTAACAGAAGCAGTGAGTTAGTTCCTCAGCGGTTAAAAGCACTACAGGGAGTTGAATCCCTCATCATTTCAGTGGGTACAGGAGGTGTTTACCCAAGGGCACCACATTTCACACAGCAAATCTCCTCAAGGACAGAGAAGTGAGGTTTTCACACCTAATGCTCTCTGAACAGGCTGTCATGCTGTGGAGAGAAAATGCAAAAAACAATGAGACAACACCACCTTGGACTCACAACGTATCCTCTTGTTTCTGGGTCTTAAAGAAACTCCTTTTATTTTTGGCTACAGAAAGGCTACAGCATTCTTTCCCCTTCAGTCCATCCCATGTTGGATCAGTTGATTTGGGCAAGCTCCTATTTCCATGTAGTTCCTCCAAAGCTGTAATTTTTCCTCTCTTCAAGATGAAACCCACCAGTTTTCATGGCTTCTTCCCCACCCCTGCGTGCCCTAGTCCAACCTCATAGGAGCAAGGGTCCAGTGCTATGATGGGACCTGGCAGCATCAGGGATTGAGGAAAAGCAACACCAGTGCATGAAGCGTTGGCTTCACACTGGCTCCTCTCCCACATGAAGGCTGCTTAATTTATAAGCTTTAATATTCGAGTATAATAAAACTGCTCCTTTGTCCGCTCTTGATTTTTCAGCCCTAGAAAAAAACCCGCAGTACTCCAGGTGGGGTCTCACCAGAGCAGAGCAGAGTAGAGGGGCAGAATCACATCTATATCACTTCTCTGATTTCATTAATGTTGCAGGGGGTAAATCAGAACCGAGCCTCTTGGTTTATGTGCACATTGAAATGTTGCAAAGAAAGACTTTAATACTTTCTCTTTGTCCTGGTTTCAGCTGGGATAGAGTTAATTTTCTTCCTAGTAGCTGGTACAGTGCTGTGTTTTGGATTTAGTATGAGAATAATGTTGATAACACACCAATGTTTTAGTTGTTGCTGAGCAGTGCTTACACTAGTCAAGGACTTTTCATCTTCCCATGCTCTACCCAACTGAGAAGGCTGGAGGTGCACAGGGAGCCGGGAGGGGGCACAGCCAGGACAGCTGACCCCAGCTGGCCAAAGGGCTATTCCATACCATGTGACGTCATGCTCAGTACATCAACTGGGGGAAAGTTGGCTGGGGAGGCCGCTGCCTGGGGACTGGCTGGGCATCGGTTGGTGGGTGGTGAGCAATTGCACTGTGCATCACTTGCCTTGTATATTCTGTTATTATTATAATTATAATTGTTATATTTCAATTATTAAACTGTTCTTATCCCAACCCATGAGTTTTCTCACTTTTCCGATTGTCTCCCCCATCCCACGAGGGGTGGGGGGGAGTGAGCGAGTGGCTGTGTGGTGCTCACTTGCTGGCTGAGGTTAAACCACTCCTCTGGGTGTACTCAGTTCTTATGACAATTCAGCTATTGCACAGAAAGTGGTATCATTTCTGCAGCATACTGTGAAACCAGTTATGCCCCATGTGTTTATATTCATTATGATTTATTTAAAACTGCCAGGATAAGTAATATAACTGCATCTGCTCTGAAGACATATCCATCTGATTCCCGCTCTATATGATCCTGGGACCTGGGATGAACCTGTGTGATTCCACTTGGATACAAATGTATTGGTTTCTAAGTTGGCACAATATTGGGTAAAGAACAGATTTCAAATGCTTGCTGTGTCTGTTGTAGCTCTGTACACCCAGTTTTGGGTGGTGCTGGATGTTGCTGCTTAGTACCTCTGAACCAAATGTGATCTTTGTTTGGATTGCTCTTTCTTATGCTGACCGGGAAGAGAGAGAATGACATTCTTTAACCGGCCTTTTTCTAACAGGTTATGCACAATAAACTGATCGGGAGTATGCTGATAGGCTCCTTTAAAGTAGACCTGGGGACGGTGTATGGTCAGCCAGGTAAGCGGTGCATTTTCTGCCCTTTTTGTCTGTTAATGAGATGTGAGGCAGGGAAGGAAAGGAGAGGGAGGTGTGCTGCTTTTCCACTTAGATGCTTGTGGTTTATGCCAAGGGATGAACTTAAAAGGTTTTTGGAAGGGTTGTTTTGGATACCAGAGCACCAGCCAAATTTTTGGGAAAAAGTTCAACACTGAAAACACCTTGATGATCTGCCCATTGGTGGGAAACACTTATCAAGGATGGCTTTTCTTTAGGGGGTCAGAGTGGGCAGCTGAATACTCGACAAAACCCAACCCCACTCATTTGTTACAGAGCATCCAAAGCTCTGCTGCGTGTGTTGGGGTAGGAGGGGTGGAGGGAGGGAGAGCAGGATGAAGCATGGAAGGAACGGTGAGGAGAGCACAAGATGAGAGGAGGAGCAGAGCATAACAGGGGAGAGAAGAAGGAGATGACAAAGAGGCGACCATGCCTCCACTTGACCTGCCAACTTCAGAGCTGTCCAGTGCTTTCTGAAATTTGAAGCTAAGAAAAGATCACCTACCCCTTTTTTGGCCTGTTCTTACAACCATCCACAAAACATTTATCTTTCTCTCTTCCATAATTACTCAAGGACCCGGTCTCTTCTCAGTCTTTGGGAACGAACATATTTAGGCCACTTGCTATAGATGTCACCCAGTTACGGCAAAAGTGTAGAGTCATTCAGGCCACTCTCTCTCCAGGGCTCCCGCAAGAGTCAGTAGACAGAAATGGCCTGACTGAAGTGAGCAGTCTACGTCTATACTCAGACTGCGTTAGTCTCTGAATTCTGTCCTCTATTTCCTGACCACACTTTTACAGGAGGATAGTGTCTGAGGGTTGATGTTGAGCTCATATCCCTGATACATTCTGGTCTCTCCCTCCCACTCCTTTACACATCCAAGGTGATGGCCAGGCCAGGGACTTAATATAAGGTTTAAGGACCTCGCTCAAGAAGGGCTGCTCAAGCAGGGCTGCAGCAAGGGCTGTTGTGGGTGAATTGTCTTGTGCATTTTACCACTGGAAAGATGGAGCTGAACCTGCTTTTGGCTTCTTCTTCCTCTGATGGCTGTCCACCCTCCATCCTTCCCTTCTCAGCTGGCTGCCAGTGTCACACCTGGCCACAGCTCCCAGCGAGGGTTTTGCTGCCAAAGAGTACTGAGATCATCAAACAGCTCTCATCAAAATAGGTGGCCTTTCCTCGTAAAGCAGCAGGCTTAATTCAGCTGCTGAATCTCACGCGACTTTTCACTGGTCTTTAGTCATTGACCTCAGTAACCACTGATGAAAATGAACTTGTTCCTGACGAGCTCTAGATCAATCCTCTTGTTTGCCTTTTCGGTCACACAACATTTTGGACCCCCCAAGTGTGTCTGGTAAAAAAGTGTGCTTCAGCACAATCCTCCTGAAAGCACAAATGTTGTTTGCAGTGCTTTTTCTGGGAGTGGAGAGGAGAAATGTTTGCATTTTTTGCATCCTTTATTTGAGTGTTTAAGTTTGTCCATCTTACAGGTCATCAGTTTTGTGACAAGTGGGCCCTTCTCACAGACCCTGCTGACATTAGGACAGGAGTCAAGGGATACCTGAAGTGTGACATCAGTGTGACTGGGAAAGGTGACACAATACAAGCCACACAGAAAACAGCTGATACTGAGGAGCAGATTGAAAAGTACTCCAATATTTTCTTTTTTACTGCTTTCTTTTTTACTAAGTACCTCAAAAATCCTCTGCTCTCCTTTCAGTCCTTTCCTTGCTAACTCAGGGTTAATAGCAAGATAGCATCGTACACCTGACTGTTCTGATGTGCTCAAAGAGAGTTTTTACAATCCTTTCAACTAAATTGAAGGGCATGCTCGGGTCACTTCTCTGCAGCTGATAGAGTTGACCATGCCCTGTGGCTCAGTGCCAGATTATCCCTGACAGAAGGTTTATTGATCTGAAACCAGTTAAATGTTTATGAAAAGCAATGAAGTAAGAAGAAAAAATATGAGGAAAAGGTATTCCTTCTCCTCTATCATCGGATGTGTATGCATGGATATTTTCCTTATCCTTAAATAAACTCAAATGCATTAGCATTCTCCTTGTAAAATACAGAAGTTCAAGGTAGTAAAGTATGCTGCCAGCATACTTTAAATTTTACAGGAGCAATGTTTCTGGTCAGTAGTGACATACTGGACCAAGTCCATGGAGAGCCACCAAGATGATGGAGGGCTGGAGCACATGGTCTACAGGGAAAAGTGTGTGTGTGTTGGGGGGGTTGGTTTCTTAGGCTTTAAGAACAGCAGGTGAAGGGGGGATCCTACTGCTGTCTTCAACTGCCTAACTGCCTACTGTGCACCTCTGAAAAGAGCCAGACTCTTTTCAGAGGTGCACAGTAGACAGATGAGAGGCTTTGGACACAGGTTAGAACAAGGGAATTTCAGAACAGAAGTAAGATTTTTTTTTTTACCATGAAGGTGATCAAACGTAACAGGGGCCCAGAGAGAGTGGGATTCTCCATCCTTGGAGATATTCAGAATTTACTGGACAAGGTCCTGAGCAACCTAATCCAACTGAACCTGCTCTGAACAGGGGGTTGTAGCAGATGACCTCCAGAGGTCACCTCTAACATATGTTTGTGGTTGTATACCACAGAAACATGTTCGCCAAGTAATGCTGTATCATTTTCTCATGGTAACCAGCAAATGTTTTAATTTAGATGCAGAAACAAATTCATAGACATTTTTGTGTCTTCTTAGGACACAAGCTAACTCAAGATAACATTTTTGTTGGGAAAAAATATCATTTCATTGTCTGAGTTTTCAATTTTAAGGAAATGGCTTCTGTTTTCTTTTAGGAACCTCTTGATCCCCAAAGGCTTTCCATCTGAAAGACCATGGGCCAGATTTTATGTGAGAATTTACAAAGCAGAAGGACTTCCAAAGATGAACTCTAGCATCATGGCCAATGTCACCAAAGCATTCATAGGTGACAGTAAGGACCTTGTGGATCCCTATGTGGTGGTCATGTTTGCAGGTCAAATGGTAATTGGGATCCTCTTCATCACAAATGTAGACCTTCTTTCCTATTAGCTGTGCTACAGGCAGGTGATTATGCTGATATCCTTTAACTTATAGTTACATAAATTAAGTAAAACACATATTTCTTTCATGAGAAAGAAAATGTTCAGTTCTTAAATTATGCAGGAACAAAGTGATGGAAACACTTAAAGCCAGCAGATCTAATATCAGCCTCATAGCAGTAGGTTAGAGTTGGGCAGCAGGAGGGGAAAGAGAAGTCTGTAGATTTGTTACTAAAACATCAAGTTACAAGAAAGTGAATTACCCAGTGTGGTATTAGGTAAGTGCTGTGTTTTCACTCCCTAGAGTGAAAAAAGGAAGCAGGACTGAAATAAGTAAAGATGGTTCAATCTGGATTTTAGGGCTGTGTCAAATCAATCTGGATTTTTCAGGACCCTTGAAGCTTTTCTGTGGGTAGCAGAAGAGGAAGCATTTGAGTAGAGTCTGTCTCAGTGTGGCCTGGCTTCATTGCTCCCAGAGCTCCTTCAACATCAAACATGGTGCTGCAGGGAGCTGCTGAGAGGGACCTTCTGACTTTGGTGGAAGAGGAGTGCAGAGGAGGTCCAGGGGCCTGATTCCTCTGGGGTACACCAATGAAATGCCGTGTCAGGGAGCTTGTCTTGATTATTGTTGTAAATAAGGAAAGAATCAAACTGGAAATGATTTTAAGCCAGCAATGTTTTCTGTGTGCAAGGAAGCCTTAGGGAGAACTCCAGTTAGTCCTTTACAGATGTTTCAGGCATGAGAATGATGCTCTTCATGCTGATTTCATGTTTTGTTGTGAATCCAAATTGCAAAGTATTACATCTGAAACTAGTTTGGGTTAAAATGGTCAAAGGCATGCAGCTACTTCAGGTTTAACAGAGGGCTGAAGAAGACATAAGAATGGGTCACTATCAATGTGACTTTGCACGGTGATGTGTAAAATATAGGTTTAGAGGTATCATTGGTGGGTTTCCTGACTTGGCTCTCCCCACCAAATGTGGAAGTAGAAGGCCTGCCACAGCCTGCGGCTGCACGGACTGTGATACAGTCTTGTTGTCTCCTTCAGGCTAGGAGGAATAGCTCCAGTCCTTACATACCTTAGCACACAGGCATGTGCCCAGAATGCGAGCCACAGTAATCATGTTTTACACTATATAAGTTGCCTCATTTAAGGTAATTCCATTGGTACATGCAGCCTGGCAGCTGTAATGAATTTCATCTTTTATGAGACAAATAGCACTGCATAACTACTACCCAGGTATTTCAAAGCCATTTGAAGATGTGCAGTTTGTAGCAGAAATGCCAAAGTCTGGCTTCACAGATATGTTTTGCGCATAAGGACCGTGAAGAATTAGATCTTATTCCAGGCTTGGCTGTGTGCAGGTGAGAATTCTTTAGCTATAATGTGGTCTTTTATTAGATATGGAGAGGAAAATAAACAAGTTAATAGAAAAGCGGAAGTACTTTCAAGATAGGATATTTGTGCTTTAAAAATGACCAGAGAGACATTGCTAAGTGCAATTTGTGCTATACTCATTGCCATTCTCCAGAGTCTGACCCCTCTGGGGTTAAATTTGCTGGACTTTCATTTCAGGGTAGAACAACAGTGCAAAAGAACTGTGCGGATCCGGTATGGCATGAACAGATTATCTTCAAGGAAATGTTTCCTCCACTCTGCCGAAGAGTCAAAATCCAGGTCTGGGATGAAGGCAGCATGAATGATGTGGCCTTAGCCACCCACTTCATTGACTTGAAGAAAATATCAAATGAACAAGATGGTGACAAAGGTAAATGGGAAAATGTCTGTTCCAGAACATGCTCTTACTGTAAAATCTACTTGCTTAGAGTCTGGGCACTGGCTTATCCCGTTTCAGAGATGCACAGCACTCAAGGGAACATCTGTGGTTTTTGTTGGTTCCGAAAGACCTTCTTTTGCTTAATTTCAAGTTATATGACATTGTGCTTGGTGCACGGTGGTCTGTCATTGCCTTTCTTGTTATAGGGCTGGTGCATAATTTGGTACTTTCTTTGTGACCATGGCAATAATCTGCTCTAGTCCATCAGGGACGACTGATGTAAGTTTATAGTTTGTGCCAGTTTCTGTCTGGCAATGAAATCACAAAGTGCAAATCACCGGCAGAGCAGGCTTGTGTTTTTGATCTACCCAGTAAGAGCAAAGCATTTAGGTAAGGCTCAGCTGGGTGCTATCACAGCTCAAGGAGGTACCATAGACTAGTGTGTCCTCATGTATTTGAGGTAAAGTTCACTATCTGGCATCTTTTCACTGATGTTTGAGCCTATGTATAGAGACTTATTTATACTGTGTGATCTAAATGTGAAACATGTTCAGTTATCACAGCTCAGCAAAGGCACAGTAACTCCTTAAATTTGGCAATTCAAGTGTGTATCTGAGTCCTTAATCAGAAAACAAAAGATAAATCATCTAAGGTAGGTAGTGGCATGGCCTTGGTAACAGTTTGGGCAAGGTGAGAAGGCCTCCATTCCTCTCCCACCATGTCCCAGCCCTCAGTCTGTGGGAGCAAGCTCTTTTTTTCAAGAGATACAATAGGCCTCATGGGCCAGCACATGTGGTACGAATACCTTCTGAGAAAGAGCTACATATTGGCAGAGTCCCTGGCTGTGTATTGGCAGAGGCTTCTTGGTGCCTAGGAATTGCCCTGCAAAACAGTGCTCTGTATGAAGTGGTCCCCACCTGCATAGAAATGGGTCCAGGTTTGGCTTTTGGTGTGCAAAAGGCAAGATTTCTTGTAGCAGACAGTGAGAAGAGCATGCTAAAACCTAATAGAAATACCATAAAACACGGTTTATCTCCAGGGTTTTTGCCTACTTTTGGGCCTGCCTGGATCAATCTCTATGGCTCACCCAGGAATCACAGCCTCATGGATGACCACCAGGAGCTTAATGAAGGTTTTGGAGAAGGGGTCTCCTTCAGGGGACGTCTATACATTGAGATTGCTGTGGAGATACTTTCAGGAGGAGCCCATGAATCGAAGTTTCCAAGTTTTATCAAGGATATCAAATTGCCATCTAAAGATAAAGACTTCAAAGCACCCAAAGGAAAAGACAAAACTGAGAAAGCAGGAGAGGATCGAAAGTCAGTTTCTCCTTCAGATAAGATGAACTCAACCGAAGTGGAAGTCGAGCCATTCAATGTGCCTTCAGAGGTCAGTATCATATTAAGAGATTGATTGACATGTGTCCCTAAACCTCCAAGGATGGCACCAATGATGTATTTGGGTTCAGGCCATGTAATACTGCTTTCATGTGCTCCCTACAGCTTCTCCATGCCTCCATAGTCTTGGGACCTTCCCATAATTATGCAGTGCAAATGGAGCATTAGTGTGTACCTGTAACTCATAAAAAATCTCAAGTAGGACTTGGTTTCCATAAAACTTAGTCTCCTGTCCTATTGCCCCTTCTGCACTAGCTGCACCCATGTGCTCCTACTAGAAACTTATATGATGTAATATCTGCTAAATGATAGAGAGCCGATGGGGGCAGCCAGTAATTATAAAGTCTGATTTTCTGCATTCGTTTGAGAAAATTGGTAGCTGTCAACTGAAGTCAGGAGGGAATCACTGATGCAGAATTTGTGCAAGTGCAGAGGGATACAGCCTAGCCTGTTTTACTCTCCTCCTTTAACCCTGCATTGTCAATGTAGTTTAGGATTGCTGATCTCTTTAGGAGAGGGGCTTCAAATCATGTGCTCAGCCTCAACTGGTGTTAACTGTTGTTACTTTTCTAGCTCCACCTGTTGTACTGAGTTACATCATGGGAAGATCTGTGCTACGATGCTTTGAGAAGGTTGTGCAGTTGTGGCAGTGCATGTGGGCTCACGTACTGAGCCAATATTTGAGCTTTTTTCTGGTCCGTCACAACACTGTCTGAGAGCAACAGCACATTGGTACATATGCAAGCTCTATTTTTTTTTACCCAATAAATAGGAAGAAAAATATTCTTATAACCAATTTTCTTCCCACTTCAGTATGTCACTGATCAAAATTTTGGCTTTTGTAGTGGGAGTCCCATCTCAGTGCTTAAGGCACTTGTGTCCTTTATCAGATCTGATTCTTGGTCTTTTGACGCCATCTCTACAAGTAAATAGGATAGGAGAAATTGTTCTTTGGTCTTGAGGCCTAGCCTTGACGGGTGCTCTTCCTTGGCCTGTGCCATGTCATTGCCAGCATGAGTGCTAGCTGGAGCAGGTCAAGGAGTATGTTAGCAGAAAAATGGCATGGGTAATTGCAAGCCAGTTGTGCAAACCAGTGCCCTGGTCTTGCTTTATATACTCATATAGTTGTAAATTGCCTCTGTCCCTCAGTTCTTCTCTGAAGACTGTAATATAGGTGACATGAGAAGAAATTTAATTCCGTATAGATTTTCCTTTATATGGAAGAAATCCATTATTGTGAGTGGCTCAAACACTATTGTCTTAGGTGCTAGCTAAATACTCCAGGTAGAGGAACAAACCCTGCTGTAACATCAATAAATATTAACAGTAGTAATAAGGATTTATTTCTGGCTACTGTGCCTCAGTTTCAAATACAGAATGAGTAAAAGGCAACAACATAATACAGTGATGCTGGATATTCTTTTGTTTTTGACATTCAGCAATATTTCATGCTACAGTAGACACAGTAATTGTATTACACCTCTCTGAAAAGAAAAGCAGGAACTGGAGACATTACAAATAAGGCAAAAAATGTCTCAGAGGCTCTATGACAACAGAGGCAAATTACCCAGCCCCACAGCCCAACTTTATTGACCTATTCCAACAGCAAGAAGACATTAATGATTTGCAATTTGCTTTCTTTATAATGGGAGATAGATGTGTGTGTCGTAGTCTCTGAGCCTCAGCTTTATTAGGCACCCTATGCTCTGGGTTCATGCTGAAAATAATTAAGGCGCAGGGAAGCTAAAGCTACTCTGGAGCTGCAATCTGTTTGTGGTGTTAGCTTCGATATGTGATGCTGCTAATCCTTTCACTGAAGACCTATGATCCTTTGCTGTGTGTAGCAGAGGTTTTTCAAAATGAAGAGATCATGGGCTGTGTCAAAAGCTGTTTCTGCTTTGCAAAAGTCAGGGAAATAAACATTCATATACAGCTGATGTTTTACTCATTACTTCATCTGTTGCAAAAGAAGCAAGTACTGATCTTGCCTAATGGGCTTCAGTATGCTGGTGTCCATGCTGTGAAATCAGTAGGGTTTGCACTGGAGAGATTGTGGCAGTCAGGGTGTAAAGTTGGGGAGAACTCAAACCACAAAATTTATCTCCTTTGAGCTTAGTCTTGGTTTGTGGCTAATAGCTTGTTTTGTTAATGACCCAAAAGCATTAGAGGTGTTAGCTCTAATGTCACTTCCTTGAGTGAGAGTGCGTGCCAAGGACAAGCAGATGTTGGGGCTCCAATAGTGCCTTAAAACTCCACAAAATTATGTTACACTTTTCAGGGTGTACTGCTGCACCAAGACCCTTTGGTTCCTCTGCTTCCAAATTCTGTGAAAAGCTGAAAACAGGCTTACTGGTTTCTGTGCTGTGATGCCAGGGAAGGCAAAGAGCAGAGGACTGTACCCCCACACACTGAGACCCACCTTTGGGCCTGTAGTTTAACGCACAGCAAGATAAAAAAAAAAAGAAGGACTGCTTGGTTTCAATAGGCTTTTGCACAGGGCTGCCATCTAATAAAATGTGGATGCCAGAAATCTTTAAGTCTTACTGGCATCACTGATAGCTGAGTGCCCCTGAGCAAGGTCAAAGATTTAATAGTACAAACACATGGGTAGTAGGTTAAAGTCATCCCAGGGGAAAGCAGAGGTGGGCAAGCACTCCCCTGCCTGGATGCGTTAGGATGGCAGCATTTGCTATTGCAATGCAAAGGAAAACTACCACTGTATTCACTGCTAAATGACTTCTATCAGGATAGTGATATTTTGTTGCTGTTGCACTAAAAGGGTCCTTGAACTGCCATAGATGTATAGTTTGAATGATGGTATAAGAGTATGTGAAGATACTGAAACCTTTTAATAGTGACTACTGGTAAGACAGAGTATGGAGTGCGGGGTAATGACTTTTATGTAATCAGTTATGATATAACTGGACAATATTGACAAGACCCGAGTCACGCAGGTTTATCTCTTTTCCCAATCATATCAGTTTCTCAGAGAAGAGGTATTACTTCTTCCTACAAATTGTGCCTCACTGACCACCTCAGACAGATACATCTACAACAGTAGCAGAGCTACTAGACACTTGTAAAGACTCCTCTGTGATTTAAAAAGGAGTAGAAGTAAAATAAATGTAATTTTTCTGCTTCCTCTTCTCCAATAGATCTATGAAGAGAAACCTGAGGAATTCCTCCTCTTTGGGACATTTTTTGAAGCCACAATGATTGATAGGAAGGTTGGGGACAAGCCAATAACCTTTGAGGTTTCCATTGGTAAGTGTGTTAAGCTCTTCTCCAAAGCAGAGAGGGAGTCTCAGGAGCAAGGGGATGCTACATGCTACTGACAGCTGTGTTGCAGGACTCAGGAGTCAGCTTCAGAGGAGGGCTTGCACATTTGAATTAAACCCTGATCATCATTTCTCTGGGTAGCAGTCAAGCTGGGCATACTGACGCCTAGCTGTCTCTACTCCCAGATGCCCTGTATTAATACAAATCCTCTCACCCAATATATACAGCGACTCACCCAGTATTTAGCCTCCTAATCTCTTGGAAGACCAAACTCAAATAATTTACCTCAGGGCAGAGTTCATTCTGTGGTGCCCATTGCAATTAGTCTTTGGCTGTGAGGGAGACCCTTTGCAGGGAGGACCCACGTGGACTCTCTTGGCCAACTCTGTTAAGCTACATGTGGGTCTGTGAGTGTGGCATGGGGGTGATGTACAGCCAAGCCTCAAAATGCATGCACAAACTTGTCCTCTAAGATCCTCCTGGTAAGTCCTGTCCTCTTTCTGAGTAAAGCAGGACTGTACTGCATATGGGACCTCCTCATGGTGGAGCTGAATTGTCGCCAGGAGCAGACTAAAGAGACAATGAAGACATTTTCATGAACATTGAGTGGATATTTTCAAAGCAGAAGAAATTTCCCTTAAAAGAGAAGTTTGAATTGGTCTCATTTCCCTTGCAGGGGTTTGCTTATCTCTGTACTAGCCCCACTTAGAGTCCAAGTGCACAGTAGCACCCTGGCACTTTCCATCTTTGTGCTTGTGTACCTGAGTGTGCTCAACTGTAAGGCTATGTGTGCAGGG